TGGAACGATGCAGAGAATGAAGATTAGCATGGCCCCTGCGCAAGGATGACACGCATAAATCGAGAAATAGCCGACGGTGCAGTCTTCACCCTGCGTAAGTCTTTTTTCTTGTTAATTGTTTTTGAAGACGAGAGCACTATTCACTGCACAGTGCAGTCTTTGACTCTTTACCGACGGTGCGATCAATCTGCATTTTGCTGTAATCTGCCTTTTGCTGTTTGCAACCCGTGTCCACCCTCCTCTTTCACTCTCCCTCGTTTGTCCCCACACTCCCGCCTCCGCTTCCCTCTCGAGGTCCCACTTGCAAAGAGAGGATTGGATGTAGCAACGAAACAACGCCTGAATCTGGACCTGGTTATGAAGAAGTGCAGAAAATCGCCATTCATCTGCATGTCTGCATTTTGGCTAAAACCACATCCAAATTCAGATGCTTAATCCAATCCTCTTTGCTAGTGGGACCTCACACCTCTGCCTTGTCTTGCGTTTATCGTGCGTATGGATTTAAGATTGCTCTTTTTTTTGAGAAGGGCGACGGCCTTTAGATATCGTCGAGAAACCGACCTGCCCTCGGTAATTCAGCAATGTCGTTCATCTGCTTCCATCTGGGTTCGAATTCACGTCTGCATTTCGTTCATTCCATCTGGACAGAACCCCTTTATATTCTGCATTTCAGCGGTTGTGGGTGTAGGAACTTAATGGGCCAAGCCCGTTGGTTGATTTAGCAGTTCGGATTGGTTTGATTGGATCAGCTCGTGTTGCCATCCCAACTAATCAAAGGCCTGCTTTCTTCATCGAAGAGGCCCCTGTAGTATTTGGCTTCGTGTTCCCTCTCCATGGCTGTATTTTTCATCGCCCTCTGTTCTTTTTTCCCTCCCCCAGGTCCCCCTTGCAAACAGGATTGGATTTAATGCCTGAATTGGACGTGTTTGTGAAGAAGTGCAGAAAATAGCTATTGATCTGCGTTTCTGCATCTCGGCCACAAAATAGCTGTTGATCTGCATTTCTGCATCTCGGCTCAAGATTTTTGTCGAAGTCGAAATAGATTCCTGCTGAAGAAGTGCATCATCGATTTCTGACAGAAGATTCTCGTCGAAGTCGAGTCCTGCGTCGATAAGGATGTTGTGTAGAATGCAGACTGCTGTGAACTGCTGCGACGGTGTCCATGTTCGTCTTGTGCGTGCGCAGGAACAGTCTCCACATCCCCTTCAACAAGGATGTTGTGTAGAATGCAGACTGCCATGAACTGCTGGGGCAGTGTCCATGTTCGTCTTGTGCGTGGGAACAGTCTCCACATCCCCTTCAACGTCCCGAACGCCCTCTCTACAACCTCTCTGGCGTCCTTTTGTTTCGTGTCGAACAACTCTTCGACGGAGTGCTGATTGATCCCTCCATACGGCACCAGTTCCCATTCCGATCGACGATGCCCGTTGTTGCCGAGGATGTATCCATTCGTCCTCACCCCGTCCGGTAGCGTAACAGGCGGCCCGCAAAACAGCAACCCCTCTTGTGCGCATCTCCACAGACTTGACAGCTGGATGGCCCTGATGTCGTGGCAGCTTCGAACACATCGAGCACACACAAATTGAGGTCGACCACCACCTGCACAGCGATGGAGAACGGATGCTTGCGATTGAAGTAGTTCTCACTGGGAGTGCTCGCAAGTTTGTCAACGTAGATGTGTCACGTGTGTGCAGTCCACTCCGTGGCAGTTGGGGAAGCCCTTGTCAGCAAACGCTTGGAGCACGGTGTGTTTTTGCACCCTAGCCGGCCACGATATCTTGTTTGCGTACACCCTCGACAAAGCGACAGTTACATCACGAACGGCGATGAGTCCCAAAGCTCTGCCGATGCCAAATGACAGTGTGCTGCTGTCATATGTTTTGCCTGACGGCCAACGGTGCTGCTGTCATATGTTTTGCCTGACGCCCAACGGTACAACGCATAGGCAGCGATCTGCTTGGGCTGAAGTGGCTCCCTGTAGAGCTGAAAACGTGACCGCGCCAAAGCTACCTTTCCCCCCCCAATAAAAACAAAGAGGAAGAGAAAAAAAAAAAGAAACAGAAAAGAAGAGGGGAAAAGAGGCAAAAGAGGTAAAACAGAAAAGAAGAAGAAAAGTGGAATTGCCTCAAGGTTGGCATCCTTGTAAGGGGCGCTGGGCCCGGTTCCTGACTTGGGGCCCTCCTGCGGTCCGTTTCATAAGATTACACGCCGCGGCGCGTGGTTTGTCCGTTCTCAGACTTCGAATGTCTGGGGGCTGGACAACGGAGGGGCTGGACAACGGAGAGGCGTGGACGGGCAGGGCATTGAAGGGGCAGTGCGCTGAGCGCAGTTTTGGGGATTCCCCTATGGATCCGCCATGTGCACGCGTACTGGAGTGATGACACTGACTGCCGATTGCTCGTGGAGGCTTTCGCATGCGAAGACGGACATCGTGAACTGGGGATAACTATATGTCTGATTTTCGATTCAACGGGGTTTTCCCGTTGAAAGGTTCAATGGCCATTAAACCCCCGTTACAACGCGGCGCTATACCGCATTAGAACGCGGCCCGCGAAAATTGTTTTGGCAGGGAAAAAATTAATAAAAATAAAAAATAAAAAATATGGGGGTGTAGATTTTTTTGCGCTCTACATCCCCATATTTTTATTTTTATTTTTTTAGCGTTTAAATAAATTATTTTTAAAAAATAAAAAACCTAACCAGACTCGAAAGACATCAAATTTTTCTCT